CGGCAACATGGTAAACGATTATTATTAAGAAGGAAACATAATGATAAAACCGGGAAGATATGTTCTCCAGAGTAATACAAAATGGTATCTTGGTGGCCATAGTCTGTATTCTGTCTCGTTCTCACGATGTAATACGCAATAGAAGTTAAAGGATATATTACAACTTTATCCTGCTCCATAGCGTCCTATATATGGTTGCATATTATATGATTATATCCTATATTGTCATTATATAGACATCTAGCCACATATATAGAGATTTTATAGATATGTAGTTGCTCTTTCATATGCATGTTTTACGAATTCATTTATCTCTACCTATTGCATGATTCTGTCCAGAGTACCTTTAAGAGTTATCATGAGGAGCCATGTCACGGAAATGTAATCAGGAATATACTCTCCGCCATTATTGTGCGAGACGAAATTCATACAGGAAGGAAACTATGTTTATTGAAGGCCACTGAAGGATCACAGGAATATCCGTTCTGTAACAATAATAAGACAGATAAATTACACTTGAAACATATCCAACATGTAATCTTTCCAGAGCAAGTCAATAAGCAAGGCCGAATAAATCTACTAGAAGACATCGTATTACCGACTCCGATGCCAGTAAGCCGAAAGAGGGGCACATTCGAGAATGTTATCATGCCAAGTAGACTCATGAATGAATCTGAATGGAGCAGATGCCGGCGAAGGCTGTTAGGGGAAGTGTCACAGGACGTGAGAAATGGAAAGAAGAAACTTCAGAGATATCCAAACAGAATAAGAGGAACATTGAAGTCATTGCAAGGTAATATATTAAAAAGGCGTCTTATGAAGCAAATAAAGTTAAAAGAATGGGATAAGACCTTCTTGAACACGGAATTCAGAATTGATTACATATTAAAAGAGTTAGAGACACATTCGCCGACTCATATGTTATTAGCCTTAACCATGGTAGAAGAATTAGGAAATATTATAGTAGGGAATACTCTAGTCAATAACTCCCAGGTGGCAGCTTCGGAAAGCATTCTACTTACTCATAAATCCATACGGAAGGGACAATTTAGTCACTTGAGGATACTGTTGTTTCATCTACTCAGCCATACTCCTTATTTAGAGAGTAATGTGTCTATACATAAAGCCAAATATTTAAATGAAATTACGGTAGACAATACATGGATCCTACTGGCAACAAAGTATCTAGTGCCAGCGGTTGAGACACAGCAAAATTACGTATATGCCAATAGAGACAGTTCAACTAAGGAGGGTAATGAAGTAGGGCTTCACACGGAATTAATACAGAAAGCTAATCTCGAAAATGAAGTTCATGTTAAGGACATGTTCGATGGAAAACAAAGAGCTGATGATCCAAAGCATGATTCTCTAACAGGTGATTG